CAACTTGTTTATTCAGGTTTACTTTAGTAAATGATCACACAGTATCATCATATAATAATAAAAAGCTAAAATATTTGCATAAATCTTAACGAACCTGTGGTAAGATTCAGAAAATTTTAATTGATGAAAAGAACCTTTCATAAATATATTGCTAACAGATCTCACAGCTCGTTCTACAATTGATTTTAACTCTATTTGGAAAATCTAGCGGTTTTCTTTCATTTCAAGATAAATAATAGACGTAGCATTTATTTGACATTTCTCAGCAGTCATCAAGAATTCATAAATCTTATTATACATTACAGTAGATATATTTACGTAGTTAGTTTAGAATATAAAATAATATTTATACTGAGATAATACTAGCAGCAAAATAAATGACAAAAAGCTAAAAATTATCTATATCATCTTTTTAAATGCCACTATTTTCTCACATTTGCATCTCTCTAAACTCACATTCATGTTGGGAAAAAGATAAAAAAAAAATATGCAAGGCATTTTGCGCTAAAATTCTATGTTCGTTAGTAAAAATATACAGAATGTGCATTAAAGATCTCAACATTTACAAAAGGCATTAGGATAATGCATATACAGACTTTTTTCACTTACCTGACTACTCAATAGTTAATATTAAGACCAAGTAACATTATATAAATATAATTTGTTTAGAATCCTATGATATCAGAGAGCTTGTCCCTTTAGAGCAAATATTCATATCAGTAAATATTATTTTGCTAAATTTTATTTTGTTAAATGTTATAAAGAAAAATTCGAAATATTTTGAGAATCATTTTATGTGTAAAATTATTTTGTTACACAAGTATAGTTTTACAGATAATTTGCAGACTATTATACTTGATGATAAAGAAAGTGATGATGATAATGATGAGGAATAGATTTTTTCAAATAATACACAAATGTCTTTATCAGAAATTAATAATATTATTAATTCTGTCAAAAAAGCAATATATGACGTGCTATTTGAATATTTTAATTCACCACCTAAAATTACTGTACTTGCTAGTCTTTTAGATTCAAGATTTAAAAAAATGTATGGATGGCCTGAAGAAGTGCGTGAAATAACAATATCTTTATTAAAAAGAGAATATCATTTATTAAAAAATGAAGAAACTGTTATGCCTCAAATAAATTCAAGAAATAATTATTCGACGGGCAGGTTTAAATCGTGTTTATTTGAATCATATAAAATAGATGAAAAAGATGATGAAATCAATTGCTATTTGGATAATTTTAGAATTCCACAAGCTATACTCGAAATGAATCCATTTCAATGGTAAATTGATAATAAAAAGAAATTTTTAACTTTATTTAAAATAGCTAGAAAATATTTGAGTATACCAGCCACATCTGTTTTAAGTAAGCAGCTTTTTAGTGATGCTAAAAATCAAATTACCAAAGATCAGACCAGTTTAAAACCAGAGACTATTAATGAATTATTGTTTATAAAATGAAATAGTAAATATTATAATCCTTTTGTATAATTATATGTTAGCAAATTAAAGAGATTTTAGTAGTTATTATAATATTTGTAATTGATAAAAATTAG